TATATTCTGAAGTAGCTTCAAGCACTTACTACCTTATCTCCCTAACTCACGTTTTCTGTGAGCACCCCATTTTAATTTCCCTCACAATTCTAGGTACATAATAGGTTATGACATAAAAACTGAAATACAAAACAGAAAAGTTGAGAAGGGGAAGATCTTAACAATTAAACATATTGTCTTTTCTCATCTGAAAATACACTGATTTGCTAAATATGGAGGCAAAAAACCTCCCACAAAAATGGACAACATAAAACAATGTCATGTTTATAACTATATTAAGGTACCATTCATATGGTACTTTTTGTAATAACTAATTCTCTCTCTCTCATTTTTTTTTGGAGAGGTTTTTGCTTTTGGGTATGTGTGCTCGCCAGAAAGACAGAGACAGAGAGACAGAAAGTGAGAAAACACCCCTCCTGCGCGGCTGGCCATGTCAGAATCCCTTCTCCTCCATTTTGTCACAATCCCTTCTCCTCCATTTTCTCCTCGGGATCTTGGGCACACATGCACATGCACCCAGCGTGAGTTTAAGCCGCCAGGTCCGGGACTTGTACCGCGGCTGACTACATGGGAGTCCAGCGATACAGCCGTTATGCCAACTGCTGGTCCCAACTAATTCTAATATTCTAATAACATACCTTGTATATTAACAGGCAGTAATACTGTTCAACTAGTAATGTCAGAACTTACATTTCTGAACTTAGCTGTCCAGGAATCCATATGATCAAGAAGCTGTCTATTCATAGTCACTCTTGCCCAAACCTATTAAAAATATGTTTAAAATAAATAAACATTTAGTGAGGGAAAATCTTGCCAGAAATCATCTTTCCCCACCCTTAAAAATATTTGATAAACTTTGAAAAATACCTTCATAAACATCAACATCCATCTAAATAACATTCATTACTTTTCTTACTTCCTGCTTGTGGCTGCTGTGGTTAGATATATCTTTAGAAGTTCCCAATGTTAGTATGTTAAAGAATATTTTTCTTACTTCTAAGAACAAATTAAAAGCCCCATATTTGTATTAAACTGATGAAGTTACAATCTGCCCAATGTTCTAATGCAAATGTATTTTAAAAGCAAGAGCCCTGTATATATTAAGTACAATTAGACACAAGAGAGCCTTTGTATAAAGAGTGTAGAAAAATGTTTCAGGCGGGGCACTAATGTCAACTACAGAGTAACATGTACAATATAATTTACTTTTAGGTACACAAAGTCAGACAGGAGCCTTTCCACTGTTTAATGTATGCCAGATTTATATGTTTCTGTGCAATAAAAGTGGTGATTACCAGGGAAAAACAAGTTCCAGGAGTAGAAGACTTACTAGCAATCTGTAAATCATAAATGTTAAGTCATTTTTATTTTCCATTTACCTCTTCTGCAGCTTGCTTAGAACTGAGATCAGCTTCATCTTTGTTAGCACACGGGGCCTGAGACCTACAGGCAAGTTGATACTGAAACTTCTTTAAAGTTTGGGCGTAATCCCCCATGGAGCGACTGTAGTTCCAGAACGTGGGACTGGTGGAAGGAGAGGCCGAATCTGGGCTCCCTACAAGGATGAATTTAAACAGTACCAGTCTGTTATGGTGATTTTTACATTTCACGTCCGGGTACTTAGGTACCAGACAATGGCAATTAAGGAACCAGAAGACAAAGGCTCAGAGGACGTCTCTCTTTTCTTCTCCCCAACATTACCTTCTCGTTAGAGAACATGGACTGCTTGTGTTAAAACTTAGATCATTTTCTGGACAGTGTCCACTTAAGAGTCAAAAGAACTGTAAGCAATCAAAAGTGTCTGTTTATTTTTGTTGTAAAATGAGGCTTGTTTCATGTTCCAAGAGTTTTAAATAACTCAGATGTGAAAGACAAATTTCTTCAATAAATAGGCTAAACAAATTTCTTGCTTGAACTTTTTTTTTTAAAAGAATTATTTTACTTTATTTATTAATTTATATTTGACCAAAGAGGGATAGAATGAGAGAGAAAGTGAGAAAGCAAGCCACCATGTATGGACTTGAACCACAGTCGGCCATGTGGGAATCCAGTGTCCTTAACCACCATGCCACCAGCTGGCTCTGAACATTAATTTTTTTTTTTTTTTTAAGAGAGATTTTTGCTATAGGGTGTGTGCACTTGCCAGAGACACAGAGAGAGACAGAAAGTGAGAAATCACCCCTTGGGGGGGGGATGGTCATGCCATAATCTCTTTTCCTCCATTCTCCTCTTGGGATTTGGAATGCCTGGTTTGAGTTTTAAGCTGCTGGGTCTAAGACTTGAACTGTGGTTGACTATGTGGGAGTCCAGTGACATAATCATTATGCCATCTGCTGCTAAAGAACTTTTTTTTCTTAGTTTGTTATAGGGTATGTGTGTCCTCGCCAGACAGAGAGAGAGAAAGAGAGAGAGAGAGAGAGAGGGAGAGAAAGAGAGAGACAGACAGACAGAGAGAGAGAGGGAGAGAGAAGGAAAGTGAGCAGTCACCGCTTCGGGGGGATTGCCAAATGTCACACATCTCTTCTTCATTGTCCTCTCGAGATTTTGGGCATATATGCAGTTCTACCTGGTATAATTTTCAAGCCACTAGGTCTGGGACTGGAATGGTGAAATTGGCCATGAGAGACCCAGCCACCCTAACCTCCATGCCACCTGCTGGCCCACTTGCTTGAATTTTTAAAAGCCGCTCTCCTAAATGGGATAATTAAGCTTCCTAGGATTAAACTATATACTCTGGCCCATAGGCTAAACCATACTGTATTTTGTTGAATAGCCTGTACAAATTCCTTTGTTATATTAAAAGACAATTTGATGACAGTATTTCTAAATTTATTAAGTATTTACCTTTAGAAAATGTAAAGATGTTACACGTAGGAATCTACTACTACAGAGGCATCTATAAGAGTAGGGACATACTTCAAGGTAACAGATCGTCTCTTTCCAAATATTAACAGAATTTGAGCCTCTCGAGGGCAAGAAGTATTTCTCCCCTAGCATACTACACAGTACCTCAATAAAATTTTCAATGACCTACAATACTCAAAGAAGGTTTATTTTTTCACAGCTTAACTGATACTAAAAAAAAAAAAAAAATCAATTGATACTTTATACTCACACACAAAAATCACAAACAGAAATTAGTCCTTTTTTTAAATCCTAGAATTTCTAAAAGGCGTGACTGAGAAATAATGATGGTTACAGGCACAAAGAATCAGAGAAGGGATATGTCGCAACATTTTGATTCACCAAAACCTTTAAGTCAGCCAATTGCTAGTAGGTTTGGAAAATGTAGTATGTTTCATGAAGCATAAAAATAAGTAGTATGGGGAACCAGAAGTTAGCGTAATGGCTATGTCGCTGGATTCCCACGTAGTCGACCGCGGTTCGTGTCCCGGACCCGGTGGCTTAAAACTCACGCCGGGCACGTGTGCGTGCGTGCCCAAGATCCCGAGAGGAGAATGGAGGAGAAGGGATTGCGGCGTGACCATCCCCCCTGGGGGGTGATTTCTCGCTTTCTGTCTCTATGTCTCTCTCTGTCTGTCTGGCGAGCGCACGCGCCCTACAGTGAAAATCTCTCCAAAAAAAAAAAAAAAAGTAGTATGGATCATTAAAAATATACTTTGTATGAAGAGAAATTTCTAAGTAGTATTTCTTTTTTGCTGCTTTGTTTTTAGATTTTTTTTTTTGTCACAGGGTACATGTGTTCTGGAGTGACATGGAGACATAGAAATCACTCTCCAGGGGTGACGGCATGCCATAATCACTACTTCATTCTTCTCTAGGGCTTTTTTTTTTTTTTTAATTTAAGGTTTTGCCATAGGACACACGTGCTTGCCAAAGAGAGATAGACACAGAGCGAGTGAAAGTGAGAAATCACGCTAGGAGGGGATGGCCACCCTGCAATCCCTTCTCCTCTTGGGATTTTGGGGATGCACAAATCCACACCCAGCATGATTTTAAAGCTGCCAGGTTTGAGACTTGAATCATGGAGTTGGCCATGTGGGATCTACCACCTTAACCATGACACCACTTACTGACCCTCCAAGTAGTACTTTTGACAAGACAGATAGCAATGCATTAATGTCAAGAAAAGGAAGATGCAAACCAACATAAACGATTCAGTAATAGTCAGGAACATCACAATAGAACAAGGTTATCCTATTTTCTTTTTCCTTTTTTCCTTTTTTTTGCTATAGGGAATGTGTGCTCACCAGAAAGACAAGAGACAGACAGAGAGACAGAAAGTGAGAAATCAACCCCAGGGGGTTGGCCATGCAGCAATCCCTTCTCCTCCATTTTACTCTTGGGATCTTGGGCATACATGCACACACGCCCGACATGAGTTTAAGCCACCGGGTCTGGGACTCAATCTGTGGTTGACTACGTGGGAGTCCAGCAATGTAGCCATTATGCCATCCGCTGGTACCTATTTATATATATATATATATATACACACACACACACACACATATATATGTGTATATATATATATGTATATGTATATGTCTGTGTGTATATATATATATGTGTGTGTGTATATATATATATTTTTTTTTGAGAGGTTTTTTGCTATAGGGCGTGTGTGCTCACCAGACAGACAGAGACAGAGAGAAAGAAAGTGAGAAATCACCCCCCAGGGGGGATGGTCATGCCGCAATCCCTTCTCCTCCATTCTCCTCTCGGGATCTTGGGCACGCACGCACATGTGCCTGGCGTGAGTTTTAAGCCAAGAGGTCCAGGATGTGAACTGTGGTTGACTATGTGGGAGTCCAGAGACATAGCCATTACGCTTAACTGCTGGTCCCCCCGCTGGTACCTATTTTCATTAATCATTTTGACTATTAGCTTTAAGAATGAATCAAACTTTATGAAAAAAAAAAAAAGGAAAAAGAAAATAAACTGAGAAGTTTCAATGAAGATTGGCTTTAGAGGGCCAGTTGGGCAGGGGGCAAAGTGGAGCCTTTCTATATCTAGTACCAGTATCAGTACCAACAAAACAGCACAGAATACGTAGCTGGAAAACTTCAAAAACCTAAGATTCAAAGTGCGTAGATTTGGAAATCTGCTAACGTAGTAAATGAGATCAGCTGAAATATATCCCACTACAAAGATCCAAGAATGTAAAATAAAACACATCACTGAGCCAGCAGAAGCCGTGGTGGTTAAGGTGCTGGATCCCACATGGCCAACTTTGCAGTTCAAGTCTCAAACCCAGACACTTGAAAATCACGCTGGGTACGTGTGGGTGAGTGACCAAAATCCTAAGAGGAAAATGGAAGAGAAGGAATTATGACATGGCCATCCTTCGGGCAGGTGATTTCTCACGTTCCCTCTGTTTCTGTCTCTCTCTGGCTAGTGCACATACCCTATGGCCAAACAACAACAAAAACCTGTAAGTTATTTGAATGAATAATGGACTTTTTAAGAAAGCAAGGGTATGAATAAGCCAGCGACTAAATATCAAGAGGCTGTTCTAGAGAATTTTGGAGGCCTTGAGAAATCGACTTGAATTTCGGTGCACAGGTGGGAAATGGAAATAAGGATTCGGGCTCTGGAGAGCTGGATTGAGACCTTTCTCTTACCTGGACCCTCTGCTCCTGATGAGTTTTCAAGGTCCACATTCTCAGTGGATAAGAAAAAAAAAAATCTGTCCACTGGCACCAAGAGACAAAAGAAGCTTGCCTGTCTTAGGTTGTGGGAGATTAAAAAAAAAACAAAAACCTGGTATCTTCAATTATAGATTCCTCTGCATGGTTTACAGTGCCCATTTACATCGCCTCTGAAGTCTGGGCATCTCCAAGCCTGGAAACTATTTCAATTAGTTCAGAGTCAGTGATACTCCTTAAGGCACCTGACAACAGCAAATACAAAACAGCTAGAAAGGAACAAGGCTTCCATCCAGCTGGCTTAGGACACACAAAGCCCAGATGAAACTCCACTGAAGAAAAGCTTTCCAGAAACAAAACCTACATAAATTACAGGGAACCCTGCTTTGAGCCCGACACTCAGCAAGACAGTATTTAACCTGCAAGAACTTCAGCTAACTGAACTACTGAACAATAACTTTTTCAAAGTATATTTAAGGGACCAGCAGGTGGTGTGGTGTTTAAGGCACTGGACTTCCAGATGGCTGACCATGGTTCGAGTCCTGGACCTGGTAGTTTGCTTTCTCACTTTCCCTCTCTCTCTCTCTTTTTTTTTTTGGAGAGGTTTTCACTGTAGGGCGTGTGCACTGGCCAGACAGACAGAGAGAGAGACATAGAGACAGAAAGCAAGAAATCACCCCCCCAGGGGGGATGGTCACGCCGCAATCCCTTCTCCTCCATTCTCCTCTCGGGATCTTGGGCACGCACGCACACACGCCTGGCGTGAGTTTTAAGCCAAGAGGTCCAGGATGTGAACTGTGGTTGACTATGTGGGAGTCCAGAGACATAGCCATTACGCTTAACTGCTGGTCCCCCCGCTGGTACCTATTTTCATTAATCATTTTGACTATTAGCTTTAAGAATGAATCAAACTTTATGAAAACAAAAAAAAGGAAAAAAAAAAAAAAAA